TCCGTTTAATTATTCATCTCGCGGAATGATTAATTACGGGCGACACGACCGCTCCGCGTAGCCTGTCGACACTGACATTGAAATTACACTCGTATTTCATTGGGGCTGCCTGCTTGGCTTCCCTGCCCGACAGAAACCTCCTGTAAGCTACATATGTATTTAGACATCTGGATAACGTGCCGACGTCCACTTAACGTGCGTGCACCTAGCCAGGTATGTACATACATAGTCACGTAGTTACCATGTACCTACCATAACTAGATACATGGGTTACAAGTCGAGTAGGTTGCTTTACGATGTTTTTCGTATTTTCCATACACAGTGTATGAGAGAGAGGGACAGTGAACGGACCATACATAGATTCTTGTACCGAGTGTTCGTCATCGTTCACGTGATGAAAAACTGTCGAAAAAAAAGAAAAAAAAAAATGTGGAGGTAAAAAAAAGTCCGAAAATAAATAAGTCACTCCTACAACGGCGAAACTACGCTACTTTAATATTTACTGCGAATGTTTTTTCTCCCATGGCAAAAGTTCCCTATACACGCGACGGTGCTCTAGTAATTTTCTATCCCGTATAAAGCGCCGTTTTCCGGGATCCTCTCGAGGGGATCTAGGGATTTTTTTCGAGACCCCATTTCCTTGACGCTATTATTCCCACCTATCACGGCTATACCCTGTGTACGATTTCGGTTTTATTAGCAACACGTTAATCCACCGATGCTTCGATCGTCAATTTGGACGAAACGAAGTTAACCGTAATAGTATATAGAAGGGTTGGTATATATCTGGATAAGGGTGGGAGAGGATAATCAATTTGTGGATTGACGTAGAAATCATTTATAGAAGTCAGCTAACGGTGCCCCGTAAATACGGCACTGCCTTGCGGTACTGGATCTTGACGTTGAAATGATGTCTGTTACCGAGTTAGACTATAGAGGGTTGAGGGATGGTATAAGGGTATTTTAAAGGGTTGCCAGGGATGGGAGTAGGGGTGGCACGCGCCGAAGTAATCGCTCAAGAGCGCAAGCTGATCCTTTCCTCCCTTGTTTTCCCCTACTTCTCTTACCCTACTGCCACTCCCCTCCTTATCGCCCTCTTTACCCCCCCCCCACTCTCTCTCTCTCTACCCTTAAGTTTATGCTACACCCTTATTCCATCTCATATACCACTTTGCTGACTGCCCTACATGCCGACTTCAGTATCATGATAATACGTTACTTAGCTATAGGCTTTAGCCCTCTCTATTTGCTTATGTATACGGACCCTCGTCTCAGTTAAGCGACGTCTTTCCTTTATCGTCCAAGATTCATCACGTGGCACTGATTTCCTTTGATCTTCTTCCCTTATCGGCATTCCTTGTCACTATCCTTTCTGACTGGCAAGGTAAGTCTTCTTTATAAATATATTGACGCTATTTCACACAACCAGGACTTTAGGATACTTTCTCGTCTGGGCACTGGTGACCCAATACGTGTGTTTTTCGTAATTTTTTATGTTTTAGAAATTAAAAGATATTTATCGAAAATGTATTTATGATCTTTATTAAATTCTTCGGCAGGCTGTTTTTTGTAATAATTTATTTTACCCTCCTTATCGCTTAGGCTTTAACGCACGTGACGATACAGTTGTTCTGTCTGATAGTCTGTGATGAGAAATTTTTGAATAAAAAATATTATTTTTTGAATGGAGGTTGAATTTTTTTTTAACTCGATCAGAGCGGAAACTTTAGGCTTACGTGAGTATGTGCGTGTATGCGTATGTATATATGTTTTCTATGACGTAATTCAGAAGTCTCGCCACGAAACGCTATATATGCTCGTACACGTAAAATTTATCTAACGTCGGGGGTGCACTTCTTATATATGTCTGGTGCCGGGGTTAAATTTCACGTGTTAACCGACGGGTCTCGAGGGTTAAATTTGTTGAAGCACCCCACGGCAATAAAATTTCAGCTACGACCCTTCCGCCTTGGCAAGCATGTCGGTGGGAATGGTAATTTTTTAAAAATTCTTCACGCACGAGTTGTCCCTTTTTGAAAATGCTGAAGAACGAGAGAGTCCTCGTGGCGATTAAAAATCGGAGGATGAACAAAAACTTTTGAAATTCCGCGGTCAACCCTTCCGGTGTCCAGTAACAATATCTCCTTTCGTCTGAAACCACGACGCGTCACGGCTGTTTCAGGTATTTTTCTAATTGCCCAAAAGCCACAGTGCAGACGGAGACTCGGAGAAAATAATATATTGTCATCTCTGTCTAGAAAGTTTTCTTTCGGTGATCAAGCCTTGTTTTTTTTTGGTTTCTTTGCTCTCTTGGTTTTTTTTCTGGAAAGGAGAAAAACATATGGGAATCAAATTTATCTTGTTTGATACGATCGACAAATATTGTAAAGGCGCCTTGAGCTTTCTTACTGTACCAAAGTGTGTGTGTGTGTGTGTATTTTTGGTATTTGCGAAGCTCTCTTATTTACGCGACGCACTAAAAACGTCAAGAAGATTCGCGAGATCTTTGCCAATACTTTAACGCGAATTTAATGCTCCTCTTAAAAGTAGATACCTAAACGCTGTCTTGGCGAAGATCGAAAATAATGGTTGAACCACGGCAGAGTCCACTGGTTTTCCTTTCGGCGGTATCGGAGGAGGATATACCCATTGTAATTCTGGGAAAGTCTCTGGAGTATCCAGGATCTCTTATCTTGTTAGAACTGATATTGCGGGAAGCACAGTGGGTCTCGATCCGTTAGCGCCATATGGCCTAAATGAAAAGTACGCTGGGATATCAGAAGATATTTTTCTACCTCTAAGCACTGCCAGACCTTACGCGGCTAAGATTTTTTTTGGCGGGAACGGTATTAAAAATAAATTTATTAAAAGAAAAAGAGAAAATGGCGTTACAGTTTCTTTGTATACACTTTTCATATATACAAATGTTTTTTTTATTAACATTATTTAGTCGGTATGTGTATGTCGAAGGCTAAACACGAAGGGTTCACTGTGAGAATGTGCTACGCTGCTAATTCAAGGCAATTGGTTGTATTTTGGAATAATATATTAACTTCGCAAAGCAAAGTCACATATTAAGGAATTTCAGGCTGATGCGAAAATAAGCTTGAGGGATGTTTGGTGTGTACTATATTTTGTGCTTTCAGCATCGCGCCACGGCAGAGGCACAAATCTCCTGTCGCCGCCACAGCCTCTGCTGGTGTTAACCGAGGACATGGCCAACTACCTGTACACTGTGGGATTTCGTAGGATTTGAACAAATTGTTTCTACCAACTTACCTGGCTTAGTTGCCGTCTTATTTAATGCCTGGAGAGGATTAATGCGAGTTTATCGAATATGTTTATATAAGTTTTGTAATCATGATCAGGTCTTAATAAATATCTTTAAGATTAATTAACTGATATTATCCATTCAAAATTGATTATCGTATTATTAATAACCCTATACAGAGTGGTCCGATTGTTTACCTTCGGTAAAAAAGGGATCATAGCGATAATTTTTCAACGCGATTTACTTCTCAGTAGATCGTGTAACGATCTTATGTACTGGGTAAGTAGGGTTGAAAGAAACCAGGATCGGAAAATTGCGACAAGGACGGAGGTCACATCCCTCATCTTGGTTAGAGGAAGACAGACACTAGGATCCATGATAGGGAATAATATTGTCAGGTAATGCAGGTAAGTAAAAATTACGTCAGGGGGCGTGGAAAATAAAGTAGCCCAAAAAATTGCATTTTCGCGGGACGCATTTTTGTTAGTTCCGAAAAATTCCGCCAGATGGCGCTGTACGGCACTTTTGTAGTTCCGGAAAATTCCGTTAGGGGGCGTGGAAAATAAAGTAGCCCAAAAAATTGCATTTTCGCGGGAAGCATTTTTGTTAGTTCCGGAAAATTCCGCCAGATGGCGCTGTACGGCACTTTTGTAGTTCCGGAAAATTCCGTTAGGGGGCGTGGAAAATAAAGTAGCCCAAAAAATTGCATTTTCGCGGGAAGCATTTTTGTTAGTTCCGGAAAATTCCGCCAGATGGCGCTGTACGGCACTTTTGTAGTTCCGGAAAATTCCGTTAGGGGGCGTGGAAAATAAAGTAGCCCAAAAAATTGCATTTTCGCGGGAAGCATTTTTGTTAGTTCCGGAAAATTCCGCCAGATGGCGCTGTACGGCACTTTTGTAGTTCCGGAAAATTCCGTTAGGGGGCGTGGAAAATAAAGTAGCCCAAAAAATTGCATTTTCGCGGGAAGCATTTTTGTTAGTTCCGGAAAATTCCGCCAGATGGCGCTGTACGGCACTTTTGTAGTTCCGGAAAATTCCGTTAGGGGGCGTGGAAAATAAAGTAGCCCAAAAAATTGCATTTTCGCGGGAAGCATTTTTGTTAGTTCCGGAAAATTCCGCCAGATGGCGCTGTACGGCACTTTTGTAGTTCCGGAAAATTCCGTTAGGGGGCGTGGAAAATAAAGTAGCCCAAAAAATTGCATTTTCGCGGGAAGCATTTTTGTTAGTTCCGGAAAATTCCGCCAGATGGCGCTGTACGGCACTTTTGTAGTTCCGGAAAATTCCGTTAGGGGGCGTGGAAAATAAAGTAGCCCAAAAAATTGCATTTTCGCGGGAAGCATTTTTGTTAGTTCCGGAAAATTCCGCCAGATGGCGCTGTACGGCACTTTTGTAGTTCCGGAAAATTCCGTTAGGGGGCGTGGAAAGCTAAGTAGCCCCTAAAATTGCATTTTCGCGGGAAGCATCTTTTTTAGTTCCGGAAAATTCCGCCAGGTGGCGCTGTGAAACACCCTTTAAATGAATTTTTTTCTTTAACTTACCTTATGAACCACACATTGCTGGGGACTCGTTCGAAAGTTCATGACCGTAGGCCTGAAGGCTAAGGAAGTTGAAGTCCCCCGTCGAGGAGGAAAAGAGAAGTACCGGAGGTGCGGAACGGATCCAAGGCAAAAGGAAGATGAGAAGGAGGTAAAAAGGAAATTACATATAGAAGGACTAAGCAGACTAAAATCTCGGCATAAAGTCCTTGGTTCGATAATTTATTATAATTATTACATTATTGTTATACTAAACAAAGAAAAACAAGTAACAAAGTTCAGTCGATTTAATTAATTCTAGTCTAGGCTTCACAGGACCCCCTTAACCTCCATGTCAACGCACAACCCCTCCCGTCCCTGTTGCAGCATTGCACACCGGGGAAATACAAAAGCGAGGTTAACGATTTTCAACGTCATATTCATATAGATGCCTCATGGGCTGGAAAATCCTAGCGAAAGTTCAACATTCGTCCTCCCACGGGAATCAGCATGGCGAACGCTTGTGACCATTATGCGGATCCGATATCCCGACAATGCGCCGTCCAGTATTTTTCTCAAGCGAGTGATCGATAATGCCTGCCAATTTTCAAAGCTTTGAATTTCGATATTCCCCTGAATTTAGTTTCAAGGGATGATACTGTACTTACGTCTTGAAGACAACTCGCCGATTTGCCATACACCTTAGAGATGTCGTTCACGCGTGATGCAGCAGCCAACTGGTCGTTCGACGTTCTTTGAGGGTTGATTCATCCCCTTTAATTCGTCTCCAAAGACGCCTGCTGTCTACCGTGCTATCACGTAACAATTTTGTACATGGCAAATATATATAGTCAAGGTGGGAAGAAAAGATGAAGAAAAAAAAGGACAGTGGAGTTTGACATCAAGGTGGCGGATAGGAGGTGTATCCAGTACTTCCGGAGGATGTCGTTCAGCGGTGTTGAAAGTGGTTTTCCGCGAAGATATTTTTCTTGGGAAAATATTGACAAAGCCAAGAGTTCACTCTGAGGATTATACACGTGCCTTTGAAATCGTAAGGGTAGTGACTGTTGGTGTTGATGATTTTTTTTTTCTGCAAAATTTTCCCGACGTTACACTCGTACCTATCCGAATAGATTTTCAGATAGAAAATCGCGTAGCGGTTGCTCACTGGACCCGACGCTATCATTATTTCGCACAAAAGACACTTGAGCGCAAAGAGGATTTTCAAATAATAGAGATTTCATTTTCTGTGTACAGCCAGGGTTGTATCGATACTGCAAGCTCATCGTTTTAAATTAAATTGCAGCTTCATCTGACAACGGCAGAGCTGAGAGAAAACAAGGGACTCAAACGCGGCCGATATAAATTCCCAATAATATAAGTAATACCCGGAGAATCCTGCGGAGACCCAATAAAATTGTGCTTACTCTAGGAATCTGGACGTGCGAATAATTCGCTCCTGCCGGATACAAATGAAGTATAGGAAATGGAATTAATCAGTGTCCCGTGCCTGTGAATTGGAATAACGTTACGTTACTTGGACTATCTGAAAACTGTCTATATAGACGTACGTGTATGCACGACAGAGTAAAGATATGAGAGGTGCATCAAAATTGAGGAAATCATGTGAATTTAACAATTATTGATTTTATAATAAATTAAAAATCTGCGGCATCCTTTTGATCCACCTTGATAGGCTGATCCAAGTCAGGAACCCCTCACAGATTTAATTAGCTACCTTATCTGTCTTCTACGGTGGAGATAGGCCCTGACCAGCACGGTTGATCCATGGTGACAGGTGGTGGCTGACATCTAAAATCTGTTCGAAACAAAATAATGATAAATGATTAAAAAAACAATACAAATATAAAATTCCTGATGAATCGCGTAATCAAGAAAAACATATTTTTTAATTATATTTCATTAAAAACGGATTGCTGAAAAGAAATTAAATTTTTTCTATTAAATACATCAGTCTACAGTGCCAGATATTTTTGTGAAAAAAAGGTGATAAAATCTTTTCGTCCCCACCGAACTTTCCATGGGACCGATTAAAGCCGCTGCGAACGCACCTTTTTGCGTAAGGACCTTTTCTCCCCGGTATAAAAAGAATCTGCGTGCGCTCTGGCACGTGGCCAGAACGACACCTTGAAACATTGATCGATCTACACACGCGGCAGACCGTCGTCCATTGTGGTGGCTTTACGTTCTCATAAAGCTCCATTGTTTAGCTGAGCCTGCATTTCTAAATCTCTATTGTCATGCTGAATACTGAATACAATCGCCACGCGCTGAAAGCGGGTAGGCTGCGTCCGTTAAGCCAGCGCAGGATCGAATGACGGACACCGACGCCGAGCGTCGTTTCAACTAAATACGACGAGTGGACGAGGACTTTGAAATCAGCCAAATAATTCAAAACTAAATAATCCAGGTGTTACTGTGCTGGAAAAAAAAAAAGAAATTTTTTTTAGGGCTTTAAAAAAATTAGGCTGGATCCTCGATGACTATAGACAAGCAGCCCTCGATAAGGCCCCGTTTAAGTGCCGGGATAACATGAGGAATCGTTGGTATCCTATGGAACTGAAACTACTTTCTTTTGAGGGGCGGGAAGGGCGGGATGACCAACAGGCGCATTTTTCACTTCGATATTAAAAC